TCTCACCAATCTGACAGGTGCTTTTCAAATGTCAATTTTCCTATTGCCCAAGTTTATGGTCTTGGGAAATTATTTAAACCATCTGGCCCGTTTATGTTCCCCTTCTATAACAGAGGTTTATAACAATAGCAGTTTCTGCCTCATTTTTTTTTTCCTGATGAAATAGAAATAGTATATAGAACTCTTAGGACACAGCCAGGTTCATACTAAGAATTCAAGGTAGGGGTTTCTGTGTAATTGGCAGCTGGCGAGAAGAAATACTTCCTGCTGGTCTCTGAGTATAGAAGATGCTAACTGGTACCTACACCCACAGCTGTTGGTTTTGTTATTTTTAGTAGCAGCCTAAGGGTTAATACTGTGGAGAGGGTGTGGGTGGCTCCTGTTTAGATAAAGCCACATCCCAAAGCTTCCTTTCAGCCCCTTTGCTATTGTGAGGGTTTTTCACCGCCTCTTTGAAGTTTCAAAATTGACAGATGTTATTCAATAATTCCCTCCCCACAAGATATTTACAGTAGATTTTCAAAAAGAAAACACAGGAAATTTGAGGGGAAAGTAAAACTTTGGTTTCTGACATTGAAGGTGGGAGTATTTTTCTATAGTGTCTTCAATGAATAACCACATATATTTTAGGGATTTTTGTGTTTGTGTGTCTCTTAACCTGAAGGAGAATAGAATTTAGTGAGGAAGACCCTTTTGCTGTATGGCCAGGAATTATAAAATTTACTTAGGAGTGATAAACAGCTCATTTGGACATTTTGCACTGTTTAATGAATTGGAGATGCGACTAAGTAATTATGCAATTAATATTTAAAAACTTCTAGTTGTGTTGATTTCTCATATGTGAAAGAGAATATTCACAATGGATCAAAATACAATCTCTTCAAATTCTGCCCGTGTGTTACAGGTTGTTAAAATAGCATCTATAGAAGCAAGAGTACTCAGCAAACATCTTTTGTAAAGGGGAAGGTAGTGAATATTTTAGGCTGTCTGAGCCAGATATGAACTCTCTTGCATGAACTTCTTAGTTTTTTCTTCTTTTTTTAAATTTATTTTTTATTGGGATAACATTGGTTATTAACTGTACCCATTTCAGGTGTCCAATATTATAATTCAGTATTTGTTTACTATACTGTGTGCTCACCACCAAAAGTCTAATTTTCATGGATCACCATATATTTGACCCCTTTTACCCATTTGCCTTCCTCTCATTCTCCTTTTCCTCTGTTAACCACTATTCTGTGATCTGTGTCTATATTTGCTTTTCTGTGTGTTTGTTTGTTACTTTTTTGTTTTATATTCCACGGATTAGTGAAATATGGTTTTTGTCCTTATCCATCTGACTTATTTCACTTAGCACAGTACCCTTAATATCCTTCTATGTTATCTATCACAAGTGGCAACAATTCACCTGTTTTTGACTGAGTAGTATTCCATTGTATGTATATACCACTTTTTCTTAATCCAGTCATGCATTGATGGACACTTAGGCTGTTTTAGTATCTTGGCTGTTGTCAGTAATGCTATAATGAACATTGGGGCACATATATCTTTCAAATTAGTGTTTTTATATCTTAGGATAAGCATCCAGAAGATGAATTGCTGGGTCAGATGGTAGCTGTACTCAATTTTTTGAGGAACCTCCATACTGTTAGCTATAGCTGTTGCACCAATTTTCATTCCCACCAACAATGCCTAAGGGCTCTCTTTTCTCTGTATTGGCTCCAGCACTTATCTCTTCTTTTTGAGAATAGCCATTCTAACAGGTGTGAGATGACTTTTCACTGTAGTTTTGATTTTCATTTCCCTGTCAGTGAAGTTTTTGTTTTTTTAAAATGACCCTTTAAAGGTGAAAAAATACACGTTTGTTGCTCATAGGCTGTACAAAAATAGGCCATGGGCCCTTGGGCTGTAATTTGCTAACTCCTGCTGCAGAACATAAAACACGTGAGGGATATTGTCCCCCATAAGTCATCATTCATTCAGCTTCTACAACAAATAGTGGCAGAGTACCAGAAAGTGCCCCATCCTGAGGCCAGCTCTGGGTGTATGATGAGGATCAAAACACACCTGGCTTTCCCCCAAACAGAACATGCTTTCTCATGGGAGAGACCAACAATCAGAGCAGCACACAACTTATGATGATAAAACATCTCTATTTGCAGACAAGTGGGTATTTGACACAAACACATTCATCGGATACTTCAGATAATAGAGGTGGAGTTACAGTGAAGGAATGTTGTTTTCAGCTTTTGCACCTGAATATTATCTCATCTGTCCCCTTAATTTTGCTCTCCAGGCTTATACTTTGCCAGATCCCAGGGAAAGTCCACATGTCTCCACAATTCCTTTCTGTTATTGCTTCATCCCACTGTCATGTCCACTCCTAGTCCTACCTATCCTTTGGCCCATTTAAGCCTCCGGGTGTGAGTAAAAATTCAGGTTGTTTTTTTCTTTTAAAATATGTTTCCATTAATTTCAGAAAGAGGAAGGGAGAGGGAGAAATAGAAATATCCATGATGAGAGAGAATCATTGATTGGCTACCTCTTGCACACCCCCTACTGAAGATCAAGCCTGCAAACTGGGCATGTGCCCTGACTGGGAATTGAACTGTGATCTCTTGGTTCATAGATCAACCTTCAACCACTAAGCCATACCAGCCAGGCAAGAATTCAGGTTTATTAAGAATCAAGTTGCATCCCTTTTCCTATTTATTTTAATGCATTAATGTACAATATCTTTCCTCAAAATATTGATTTTTTTTTCTTTCAGTTGCTGAAAATATGTTTTTGGGTTACTTTTCCAGTTTTTAGTGGCATCAGGCTTAAGACTTAAGGCTCTTTTTTAGGATATATAGTTAGTGGAAGTTGGTGTTTCCACTTAGAAGTTACCCTAATAAGTTGTGAATCATATTAAACCTAAAAACTCCAAGTTGACGTGTCCCAGTTTCCTTACTCATTGTGCTTCATTAAATGACTGTATCAAAAACAAAGAGGTAGTGGGTTTCCTTAAGGAGATTATGGTTATCTCCATTCCACCTGTACTGTATTCTCATCATTTCCCCCACCCCCAAATGCCTATAGTCAGTGAAAACTGCCAATTGAATAATTATAGATCCCTTATCTGATGTCTGGTTCCATATCACCTACTCATTTCTTTCCTTTTTATTTCCCTTATGCAGAATAATCAATGTGGGGAGGATTCCTCTTCCTTAAGTAGATAATATATTCTTAATTCTTAACATAACATTCATTTTACACATCTTTAACTTTTTGCCCAACCTCTAAGGCAGTCCTTGCCCCTGTGTCTTCCCGGTTTCTCTAAGCTTTTCCACCAACACATAGACTTCAGCACACATGTAGCTCCCACTCTGGACAGCCATATATCACTAGGCATTGCCCTAACTCCTCTACTGGGTTATAACCTCTTTAAGGGCAGTGCCAGACCCATAGCAGGAACTCAGGAGCTCTGTGTTTAATGAATGAATGTAGCACCTGAGCATGAGGCCTGCTAATGAAAGGATACCTTTGAGGGAAGACGCATAAAGCAACAGAATTCTGGGATTCTTGCCTAACAAAGCTCTCACTGAACTTCCATTCACTGCCCCCTGCCCTCTGAATGATTCCACCCATGGCCTTCTCCCCAAGAGGAAAACTGTCTAACCAGCCTCCGCCATGGCCAGCACACGAATCAGAGTTTGAAATACGAGGCATTTTAGAGAAATAGCTGGTGTCAAACCATGGGGCCTGCTTCAGTGACTAAGTCAGCAAGCAGGCTATATTTCCTTCTTAAACTTCTCTCACCTTTGTTGCCACTAAGTATTTCTGTTCTGTGAAACTACAAATCACATGCACACTGAAAAGAGGAATATGGGGTGAATATAAGGGAACTGACTTCCAAAGAGACCTTTCCCACAGATTTCTCCCTCCACCACCACTAGGCTCAGAGCTGATGCTTCACGGGTAGCCTAGATGTTGATCAGAACAGGACACGTTGGAGCAAAGACTCTGGGCATCTATGGTGATCTCTTGGTTTAAACCAGATCCCATATATGCAAGTTTTTGGAAGCAGGAGCTGTCATTCTTTCTATCTTCCCAAAGCCTCCTGCAATGCCTTGAGTATAGTTAACACTCAGTAAACACTTCTTCCATTTATTCAACACTTATTGAGGCCCTGATGGGCTGGGTGTTGTTTATGGTCGTGAAGAAAACAGACATGGTTCCTGCCAGCACAGAGTTCTCAGTCTACTGGGGTGGGAAGTAGAAAAAGACAAATATAGCTGAAACTGGTTTGGCTCAATGGATAGAGCATTGGCTTAGGGACTGAAGGGACCTGGGTTCGATTCCGGTCAAGGGCATGTACCTTGGTTGTGGGCATATCCCCAGTAGGGGGTGTGCAAGGGCAGCTGACCGATGACTCTCTCATCAATGTTTCTAACTCTCTCTCTTCCTCTCTGTACAAAATCAATAAAATATATTAAAAAAAAGACAAATATAAAACCACTAAGTAGAGTCATAGTTATTTCATTGCAATTGGTACATTGTTGCACAAGAACACTGTAGGGTGCTGTGAGATATAAAGGAAAATATTTTCCAAGTTTTCCTAGATTTCTTTTAGACAGTGGCATTTAAGCTAAAGTTTGAGGGAAGAGAAGGAAACACTGAATGAATGGCCAAAGGCAGGGAAGACGAGACGGGTGCACACTTGCATTCATCCATGGAATAAAAGTTCAAAATGCATTATTTATAAAAACTATACTGAGGTTGAAACATCTGACACGTAAGGTGTACACCCAGTTTCTCACAAAGACGATTAAGTGATCAAACTCATGGCATTTATGAGTATTCCCACCATAAATCTTGGAATTTCAGGAATAAAGATTTTGATTTGCAAAAGCAAAAATAAACACTTGAAGTATCCCAGATGTTGCCTTCCAGGTTATCTGTAAGGATGTACCTACTTACTCAACCCAATTCCTTTTCTCTTTTGTTTGCCACATCAGAATATTCCACCAGCAACCCTGACTTACTGTTAGTCATATTCCAAGTGACAGGCGTCAGCCTCCTGCCACCGCTGGTCATCGCCATCGCCGTTATCATCATCTTCTACTGCTACCGTGTTCACCGGAAGCAGAAGCTGACCCCGTCCTGGGAGACCAGCAAGCCACGGAAGCTCATGGACCTCAGCGAGCGCCTGGCCATTATTATAGAAGATGACCGCTCTGACATCAGCTCCACATGTGCCAACAACATCAACCACAACACAGAGCTTCTGCCCATCGAGCTGGACACCCTGGTGGGGAAAGGGCGCTTTGCCGAGGTCTACAAGGCCAAGCTGAAGCAGAATACTTCAGAGCAGTTTGAGACCGTGGCTGTCAAGATCTTCCCCTACGAGGAGTATGCATCCTGGAAGATGGAGAAGGACATCTTCTCAGACATCAACCTGAAGCACGAGAACATCCTCCAGTTCCTGACAGCCGAGGAGCGGAAGACAGAGTTGGGGAAGCAATACTGGCTGATCACTGCTTTCCATGCCAAGGGCAACCTACAGGAGTATCTCACGAGACACGTCATTAGCTGGGAGGACCTGTGCAAACTGGGCAGCTCCCTGGCCAGGGGCATAGCTCACCTGCACAGCGACCACACCCTGTGTGGGAGGCCCAAGATGCCCATCGTGCACAGGGACCTCAAGAGCTCCAATATCCTGGTGAAGAACGACCTGACCTGCTGCCTCTGTGACTTTGGGCTTTCCCTGCGTCTGGACCCCACTCTGTCTGTGGATGACTTGGCCAACAGTGGGCAGGTAAGTCAGACCTGGATTCCCCTTACCTTGTCCTTAGCCTCACCTACCTCTTCATCCCTAAATAGCCCCACACTCTTATACTTGTCTATATCCACTCGCTCGTGGCAGGGTGCTAATGAGCAGCATTTCTCCTCCTATTTTTTTAAATCCTCCCCAATTCAGGACAGACATTTTTCTTGTTGAGTCGATCCTCATTTCTCTTCCACTTGCCAATTACTTTTTTGTACTTCAAACACTGTTAGCACTTTATATCTATTTTTTTCCTCTCTGATGGCTATACTCTGTACTGTTAGTAGTTGTGTTTTTGTTTTTATTTTTTATTGTTTTACATTGTTCTAGAAGGCACTCTCCATGGAGTACAAATCCACGCCCATTTGGTCCCATCTAGCACAATGCCTTGAACAGGGAAAGTGACCAAGGAGCATTCCTTGTGTGAATGATGGGCTGAGTGAATGAATAATTCCACTTTTAAAGCATCTCACAGAGTAAAATAGAAACCATTTAGCTACGGAGCTATTGGGAAGTGACTAGAAATTACCAGCATCCTTTATGAATGACATGGCCCCTTGTTTTCCCACACTGGAGGCTTAACTGTGGACCAGCGTGGAGTCTCCAGGGCACCAATGTTTTCTCTACCTGGGAGGAGGAACGTGCTTCTGAAGCCTTTAGTCACTGCCCAGTCAGCCCCCTGGGTCCATGACTGCTCAGGCAGTCTTGAGGTAAACATGTGGAAACACGAACAGATCAATGCGCCAGGAGAATGACTCATGCAATGACCTATTAAAAAGAAAAATGTCTTGTAATGCATGCCAATAAAAAAACATTCTCTGGGTTAATAACACCAGCTCACTTGACTTTCCTTAGATTCTTGAGAAGGGAGGACTCCATTATTATTTAGCTCTATAGGTGCTGCATCAGCAAGCATTTCAGCGATTCTTTCCCTAGAAATATTTTGCTGTTCCTCTGTATCTCATTGTTTTCATATTATGTCATTGATAATTATCAGTAATAATTATCAGATAATTTTCATATTATCATAATAACTTTAGCAAATGAAATGACACAAAGATCCAGATTTGGTCTTTTACTGGGGAAATATTTCATACAATTTCATTTGGTAGAGATTTTATGAAATTATACTAAATCCTCGGCACTACAAAGAAGATTCAGACAGCCCTTAAGTGACCCAGACCAATGGCATTTATGATTATTTCCATCATAAATTGTGGAATTTCAGGAATGAGGAAATATTTTTATTGGCAAAAGCAAAAATAAACATCTGAAGTACCACAGATGTTGCCTCTCAGGTTATCTTGCAAGGATGTTGTTGTAAAATACGGTGACATGTATCACGGAGCTGGACAAGGCAGCTCTGGGGTTTGGCATTTCCTTATTTCAGCATGTTTTGTTTATACTCCTTAAAGGGTGTTCAGGAAGAGAACATCCTATTTTTAAAAACAATGATATAAGGTCTACCTTTCTGTGCAGGTCTCCTTATTTTAAAGAGCGTTGTACTTTCTAAGATTATCTACCCAAGGTAGGGGACAAACATCAGCTGTATTTAGAAAATAAAATTGCAGTTGGGATGAAATAATGGGCCTCCATGTCTGTTTTTGCTTTAGGTGGGAACTGCAAGATACATGGCCCCGGAAGTCTTAGAGTCCAGGATGAACTTGGAGAATGTCGAGTCCTTCAAGCAGACGGACGTATACTCCATGGCTCTGGTGCTCTGGGAGATGACGTCTCGCTGCAATGCCGTGGGAGGTATGTATGCATCCCATCCTGGTGCATGCGCCTTCACACTCATGTCATGTTATTTGCTTCCAACAGGATTCCAAGGTTGCCAAAGAGTCAGCCCCAAAATGAGAGCCTAGTTGAGATGTGGTAGTACATAGCCATCTCAGTAGGGTTTGGAATTATGCTAAAAAGCCTAGGTCTTTAACCTGAAACCCCATGTTTGGAGCATAAAGCTTTTATCACCTTTCGTAAAGTCTAAGTCTTTATCTTGATGTAGCTTCCCACAGATATTTGAATGTGTAGAAAGTGATAAACACTAATATTAACAATTATTTCTACTTATCAAATGGATACTGTTCAGAAAAATATCTGATTTTTTTTTTTGGGGGGGGTATTTTTTGTATCTTAATGTTACTCAGAATTATAAGGTCTGGGATATGGATTTGACTCAAAATTTACTTTTATGGACAAGACTTTCCTTTGCTGGGAAAAACAAGCAGAATGGTTTGATGTATCTGTTTAGGTTTTGAAAAATTGCGCGAAGAGAGGTTATGAAGAATGCAGCACTCTTCAGGGGTGCAGGGGTGATGTCACTGTTTTAGAGAGTACTGGTCCCTTGTCCCCCGAGCTTTCTGGACACGAGAATGGCTGAGGTCTACAGTACTTGATCCTTGCCTGACTCTCTTCTCAGTAGTTTCCATCAGGGTCTGAGATCCCAACTTAGAAATTTATGGATCTAAACATGGTCCAGGCTGACTACTAAGTCTAGCCAACCTAATTCCAATTTTATTTTTAGCTCTTTGTTTTGCAATAATTTTAGACTTTTACAGAATAGTTTCAGAAATAGCAAAGACAGGAAGCTAACATTGGGACAATACTCTTTAATTAATCTATAGAACCTATTCAAATTTCCAAGACCCCAGGCACGTTCTTTTCTGGAACAGAATCTCACCCAGGTTCCCCCACAACGTTGGCTGTCCACACCCTCTTAGCATCCTTCAACTTGTGACAGCTCTGTCTATCTTTGTCTTTCATGACCTTGAGACTTACAAAGAATTCACACCCATTATTTTATAAACAGTCTCTCACATTGGGTCTCTCTCATGTTTCTCATGATTAGACTGAAGCTATATATTTTGGGCAAGAATACCCCAGAAATGACATTGTGTCCTTTTCTGTGTCTCATATCGGAGCCAGTTCACCTTGGTCACTTGGTGCAGTGGTGTCAACCAGCTTTCTTCCCTATACAGTAACTACTTTTTTTCCATTTGTAATGAATACATACCTAGTTTGCGGAAAGGTACTTTGACCCGTTTGTAAAGACACTAAACAGGTACACAGTAAGGATACTAGACCTGTTTCCTTATCATTCTGCCTAATAATTTTAGGCTCCATGAGTTGTTCTTGCCTGCAATAATTATTGTAATGTTTTTCTATCAGAGATTCTGTTTCTTATTCCTCCTGTGTTTGTTATAGATATTCTACTGTCAGGAATAGCTATACTTGCTTTCATCACTCCGTGTTACTTATTTAGTTATGAATTTATATCAGTATGGAGTTGTGGATATTTATTTTAGTCTACGGGTCTGTGATGTAATCATTATTTATTTTGTTGCTTTGATGGCCACAGCTTGGCTCACTGGGCTAGTCTACCCAACATTTCACCCGAGGTAGATTTGGGTGACACACGTGCTGGCTCTGATTCTTCCTCTTGTTTAGAACACGCTCAGCCAATTTCCCAGGACGGGCTCAGGTCACCCCCTGCCTTTGAGCACATTGCTGTATTCTCCCCTCCTCCCCTGGGGCCCTGCCCAGGGATGGCACTTGCTCTCCTGCTGCCACTGTCATTTTCTGGATTCCTGCTTGAGATTCCTCCCTCCACAGCACTTTCAAAAGTTGCTTGGTTTTTCCTTACCCAGTGATATTTGTTTAACCAGGTTTCAGCCACTGAGGATCGTTTTCTGTTTGAAAGCTCTGACAGTTCCCAAATGAATCCTTTAGGACCTGTATGAGTTCTGGAAGAGATGATGCTGTTGTCACTGTCAGAATACATTTCCCTACATTTTGGCATCTTTCCTGTCTTTACAAACCCGACATCCTGCAACCACGAGCTGGAGAAGGTGTCTCTGTGCCGTTCGCTCTGTCAGGGCAGCCAGCTCATTAGGGCCTCATGTGAGCTTCCTGCCTTCGTTGTTATCCATGACTGAGGCCCTTTCCTGTTGCTGTTTGCTGAGTGTGGAAGAATTCAGGCTAATGGGGAGGGACGCAGCTCACCAACTTTTATGAGGCCTAAAAACAGATACAGTATAAACAAGTTTTCCCAAGGAAGGAACAGGATCCCATTTGTTCAGCTGGTCCCAGAGAGCCTTTCATAACCGCTAAGGTAAGAGCAGATGGCCGGCTTCAGGGCATCCGGAAAGAGGCTCTCATTCTGTTTGATCGTCAGCCCACAGTCCTGTTTCTTCCATCTCTGCTCAGGCAGAAGAAAAAACAAAGTTGTTTATCTATCGTCATTTGTGTCCAACAGAAACCCTTTCACTCAGTTAAATGTGTGAACTCATTTATTAAGTCCTTAAAAAAAAACACCAAACACTCTTTTTTCTAAGAGCATTTTTTTGGGGGGTTGCCTTAAAAATCTTAAAGCCAGATTTTTATTATTATTATTTTTTTGCCTCGTCTTAATTCCAGATTTGGTTTTTACATTTCAAGAGTCTCTTGGAAGGTACCTGAAACTTGAAGAGCAATGAGTTCTTTCCCGGCTGCTGTAGAAACACACGTGTAAAGACGGGGCTTACTCTCAAGAAGCGTGTCATTTACTGATGAATCCGACTTTTATTTTGTTCTCCTTCTTAAAAATTTTTCCCATGCAGACACAGTTCTTCCCTTCCAAAGAAAATCGAGAATGCCCTCCACTTGATGTTCGGCTTCAATGGATAAGGTCTAAGAGAGAGGGCAGGGTAAAAATGTCTCTCCTTAAGCTTAAAACTTCTTTTCTGTGACTTGAAATACGACACTATTTCTTTTCATTGCCAGCCTCATTTCAAAAAGGAAATGCAGACTATGCTCACCTTAGTTTGAGGAGTTATAAAGCGATATTTTTCCCCCACCAAATGGGGCAACTGATATTCCCATTAGTTCATTCTGAGGGAGAGAACATCTGCCTGAATGAAGTAGGTTATGAAGTGGCTGGGGACAGTCTTGCAGGAGAATACGAGCTCCCTGTTTTCCTGGCTTGGAGCAAGTCCATTCTATTCTCAGGGTTGAGCCCAAATTCTTCACGTGGGTGCAGCCTGGCCCTGGCTGGCCTCTCTGGTCTCTTCTCCACTCTACTCTCTCTTCGTTTCACAGTCACCTTTATGGACGCCTTTTAGGTCTCACCTCCAGCCTTTGTCTCATGCTGTTTACTGGGACTGGGACCCTAAAATCGACTTGTAAACAGGCACGTGCGGTTCAGCTGTGGTTAGTGCTGCAGGGAGGTAAGGCAGGGGCACAGGGAACTGAATGCCCATGCCGGCTAAAGGAAGTGTGGCCGCGAGGGACCGGTCAGCTCTGGAAGGAAAGGAAAGACCCAGGGATGTCCTCGTGAGTTGCATCTTTTCATCCACCTTCTCCGCTGTGCAGACCAGCTCAGAGAGCACTACACCGGGGAATCCTCACTCTCATCGGGTGAGAAAATGCAAACTGCCGATAAGAGCACCATTCTGAAGCCAATTGGTATAACCTCATTAGCACAGATTTCCACCTGGGAGCTCAAGAGATGGGTTGCCATAACTGAGGAGAGTGGCCAAAGGGGAAAGGCTTTCTGGTGGAGGTAGGTTTGGTCATGTAATAAAACACAAAGGAATACTTGCTACCATGACATGAATACCAGCTTCATGGATCTGCTCATTTCATCCAACAAGGGCTCTTTGAAGTATGTACTTTTTTTTTTTTTTTTAGGTATGTTTTATTTTTGAATTCCAATAGAGGAAGGGAAAAAGAGAGGAAGAAATATCAATGATGAGAGCAAATCATTGATTGGCTGCTTCTTGCACACTCCCTCCTGGGGATTGAACCCGCAACCCGGGCTTGTGCTCTGACTGGGAATTGAACCATGACCTCCTGGTTCATGGGTTGACACTCAACCACTGAGCCACACTGGCGGGGCTGAAGTCTGTACTATGATAAGCCCCATTTTACAGATGAGAAAACAGAGGTTTCAGGAGGAAAGCTGTGGAGCCAGGAAACAAAGCCCTATTATCTGACTCTAGTCCACAGGCACTATCTTCCTAGTGCTGCTGGTCTGACCGATAGAGTACATGTTTAATAATAAATGGCAGGGACAGTCACCATTGTTTTCTTAGGGACAGGGGAGTCAGCAGTACTGTGTGCATCCCGGCCTTTGACGAGAGCCTTTCTGGAGGTCCCTGACAAGACAGCCACAGCCACACATTGAGGAATGTTCAATGATGGCCTCACTTCTAAAATATCATAACGATTGACCTTCCTATCTCCCTAGGTGGATTTCTGTTCACAGAATCCCAAGGCTAGTAAATTCTGTAGCATGTTGCAGGCTCGGTGTCTTCATGTCTGAGATAACTTCCTTATTCTTACATTTCTCTGAAGATGCATTCATTTGTTCATTCATTCACTCAACAAATATTCATTGAACACCTAACATGTGGCAGGCATTAATCAAAATGCTAAGGATATAGCAGTGAGGAAAACCAGCCTCTGCCCTCAAGCGACAGAAAGTCTAATGAAGAGCTAATATTTTAGAAAGACAAGTAATGAACAAGTAGATATCCTATATAATAAAAAGCTAATATGCAAATTGTCCCCTCAACGGGGAGCTCAACCATGGGGCGAGGCTGGCCCACTAACTACCCTTGGCCCCTCCCCCTGGATGGCCCAGCCCAATCGGCTAATCGGGATGGGCAGGCCGGGCCCCACCCATGCACAAATCTGTGCACCAGGCCTCTAGTATATTATAACATCAGGGGTGATTATAGAAAGAAAACTAAAGCAGAGTTAGGGAATAGACAATG